CTGGTCTTTCTGTAGTAGACATTATTTTTTCAAAATTGTATTAAAAGTTGAATTAAAACCCGTAATTTATTGAAAATTTTAGCTCATTGATTCAGCTGTGTATGAATTCAAGTGCTGAGTAAAAACTTTGCGTGACGCTCTTTCTCCTCCGCCGAGGGGCAGCGCTGTTACGAACAGGCCACGTCCTCTGGCGTCTCTGGCGCCTCTGGTCTACAGGTAAACATAGCAGCATGGCAGCAGAGAGTGGCTATATCCTCTGGCTGTAGCTGCATACACAGCAAAACAGCCCAAAAGACACAAACGTGAAGAGGAGAAGAGGGAATTAAAGCGAAAAAAATTATCAAAGAAGAAATCAAGCCCGGGTGAACATAGGTGGCTTTCACTGTATCCTCTGGAGGACTGACTCGGACTAACTTTGGACGCGAAACTAGCAGTAATCTTTCAGTTATTGTTCTGTATATTTTGTTAGCAGTGCGTTGCTTTGGTACCGTTTCATCAGTGATTGCTGTACAGCTTATAAGTTGCCTACCTGCTCTGTCACCATCTAACACACGCATGTGTCCTTTCGAGTGTTATTATGGGATACGTGGGCGGGTCATAATATGCGTCAAATGCGTTAAGAAAATTAACGCGATTAATGAAAAAAATTAATTTATGTGTGTTAACGCAATAATTTTGACAGCCCTACTAGTAAGATGATCTTTCTCAGCCCTTTAAAGGTCCCAAATTACACTTTTTGACTTTCCTCTGCTTTAAACGTCCTTACAGTGCTATGCGGCTTTCATGCACATGCCCAAAGTAGTTTTTTCAATTATTCCTTCAAGCTTTAGTTAGAGAGTGATCTCTCTTTCATTCTCGAGGCAGTGAAACAACTCGATCCACATTGATGCCACTGAACAACATTGGTGACGTGGCATGAGCTGCAGAAGCCCGCCTACAGGAGATGATTGACAGGGGGAGAAACCAAAACAGCCAATCAGCGTGCACAGCCTCTCTGAGTCCATATGACCCTGCTTCTTCCAGCTCGAGGTATATTGTTTTTCTGCCACTGTCGCCGACTGCAAGTGTTCAACTTGAGAAAAAAAGTATTTTTGTGTGTAAAAATGTGACGACACTACATGGCTTGAAAAACAAAGAATAATAATTCATCGGTTTTATGTAGCGTATGTCATTCTTCTCTCTCTACATACACGTTGGTGATAAACTACTACTGTAGCCACAGCTGCCCTGGGGCACACTGACAGAAGAGAGGCAACCAGTATGTGCCATCGGCCCCTCCGACCACCACCAACCATTCACACACACACCAGACTCATTCTAGGCAATGTAATCCTGGAGAAAGTCTTGAGGTGAGCTCGAACCCACGACCTTCTGGCTCAAAGGCCAATGCTCTACCAACTGAGCTACTGTCGCTTACAATGGGGCAAATATGGCAGCACTTTCTATTCACAGGGATCTGCCTCTGAAATCCACAACAAATCTGTTCATCTGCAAGTGACACTTCACCAAAGACTGTTTCTAGAACTACATTTACCATGAAACTGGACTTACTCAAATGCTGATCTTGAAACGTGGCACAATAAAAGCTAACGAGGAGCCAAGATATGTACAGTGCTATATACTGGCCCTATTCAACTGATGACTAAATAATTAGGGTCTGATTCTGGATTGAGGACCTAGGGCTCTGTGTGACTGATCGCCATTGTTAGAAAATGTTTCTTCTGCAGTCTGAAATGACTATATACCGGCGAAAGCTAAACAGTTAGCTGTAGAGGTGAACAAGTCAATCAGACATGTGCTTGTGGACTGTGAAGCGTGAAGGAGAGCGAAATATGGGACCTTTAAGAATAATTACCCCATTCTAAAGTGATGTTTTTATCACAACTAATTCAGGACTCAATACACAACCGTTTTTACTAACCCCTTGGACCCCATGGATAAACTAACAAATCAAAGAAAATACTATTTCCTGTGAGAAACTGCCTTATTGGGCTCCAGGTTTGTGCTAATAACATTCTACTAATCCCATAACATTTTGTTTTTCAAGCCCTGAAGACAGCACATAAATTAACATAATCTGCATAATCTTTGGATGGAGATGCTAATACCTTTGAGATATTTCTATAACTCTAAACACAGGTTATGTTGGTTCAATTATGTACAAATTGAAAATGTATTAATATCACATACATAAATGTACATACATTTGCGAGACTATATGGGGAGGCACACAATATTTATGAATTCAAGGTAAGTGAACGCTGCGAGTGAATTTGTTGGAGCAGTATTATTCATCGTTAATTAGGGCCAACTATTTCCCTATTGCAGCTGAGGCTTCGCATGCAGAGGCTCCAGTGTAGATGCTTAATTATGGATTAATGGGATTTAAAGAGACTATCCCACTGACAATTCATTTGGTGCTTTCACATGACACTGAATTATCCGGAAAGGTAATCTGCCTTACTTTTCGCTTGGGCTGTTTTTTGTATCGTTAATTTTCTTTTCTTTTCTTGCAAATAGGAACTTTTATATTGAGGGAAATTCATTTAGTGTCTGGTAAGTGATAATAATGATGATATCAAGGCATTGTGCTTCTTCATTCACTCCATGCACTGTGGTGGTAAGCTAATAATGAAGCCACAGCAGCCCTGGGGCAACCATTCATGCAAACACCAGACTCATTCTCGGCAGACATAATGCGTAAATTACACTATAATTAAGACCACTGGTTTTGTGGCCGCCTACATGGCATCAACGGTTAATGTCAGTGTGTCCCTCATTGAGTCTGGGCAATAATGCCATATTAAATTTAATTTTAAATTGATATCATAATCATAATCATAAACATTGAACTCTAAACACAAGATGTATAATTTCAATGTAAAAATTGTTCAGCTCAGCAGTCACAATTGTGAGCCTTCATTGCCTTTGGCCCAGTTGTGTGTAATGAGTTTCTATCATATATTGGTTTCACATTTTAATATAAAATAAGATAATGGAGAAATGTACAAGTTTCACCTGTATAACAAACTATCCACAAACGCTGGTTTCCATGGTTTCTCTGTTTTGTATCTGTTCTGCGAGGAAAATTTTTTCTCTACTGTTATTAACCAAGAATGAGAAAATGGAACAGTTTTAAATTCAGAGGAAAGAGGCATATTTATAAATCTAATCTGAACTGCGGTGCAAAGAAAAAATAGCATGCACAGTTTCTGTGGTTTAAAATATATCTGCATGTACATCATCCGTTAGCTCCAATGGTAGTAATAATGTTTGTGCACACTAAGATAAATATAGCCCTTAATGTGGCCCAGACTCAACCTCACGGCCCCCAGCAAAAATGAGTTTGAGACCACTGATTGACTGTAAGCAAAATAACAGCATGCTGAAAGGGCATGAAGCAATATTGTAACCCTGCCAATAAACCATACCATTCATTCTCCACATGTATTCAACGACTGGAAAGATTTCTTCTGATATGTTCTGTCATTATTACAGATGTGGTGTAGCATGAGCGAATATTTCTGAATCCTTACATTTCCAAAGGTTACCGCTGTCTCACTAAAAATCTACATGAAGCCAATTAAATACATTCCCCAGTTCTCCATTTACCCCATTTTGGTTTGCCTACAAACAGGCTATAACAAAGACCATGATTCAATAATAAATGTGTTCATTAAAAGTTACAATCAAAGCTGTTAAAAAAAATCAGGATCACCACTGACCTGCTAATTAGGTGCTTACAGACAATTGACTTTCAGCAGTTTTGTTTTTGTTATTACTAATTGAAGATCACACAAAGAACAAGCTAAACAAACAACAAACAGGCTGTAAAACCTATCAATGATTCTTCGAACAAACCTTTATGCTAGGGAAAAAAAAGCAGGATGTACAAAATTGCGAAAATGAATCTGGCCCAAATGTATCCAAGCACGACGCCTTCAGTTCAGGCTGCCAGCATATATCAAATGTCACAAATCCTTCAATCTGAAAAATCCAGTTATAGGATTATAATGGCGTCAACAGTAATCGCTGCTGTGAAATACAATTTTGGACAAAACTGCCGTCATCGTTTATGGAGCTCAGACAACGTTGGATGCGAGTTATTGAAATCTGTTTTCTAAGAGCTGAAATCATGCAGCTGAATTATTTGGATGTGGTGTCAACTGCTTTTCGGTGTGTAACAGACAGACTTTTGCAGCGAGAGAGCCAATAACTCCATCGGCACTGAGCCTAATCCTCTCCTCTCTGTAAATGTGGTCAGTTTGGGACGTAGCCACCGGAAAGCATTCAATTTCAGGCCAAAAGGAAGACAGCAGTGGCCTTTCTTGCTGATAAAACCTTTATTGTATATGCCCTTACTAGGCCTAATGAAATGAGCCCTCGGACCAAAGCTATTAGGGTGGCTCACATTACTCAGGCTACAGCTAGATCATGGTCCAGTATCCATTATTATTGTCACAATATGTATGAC